GTCAATATTATAGCGAGTTAGAGGCATATGTCACATATTTTAAACGTTCCAGACATGTGTCACCCCTACGGGTGGACTCGGGCCCGGCCCGGAACCGGCCCGGTCACTGTTTGAACCGGCCCGAACCGCCGGCCTGGCCAGGGACCGGTCCGGGTAGGCCCGACCCGCTGGGGTTCCGGGCCGGGCTCGGGCCCCTGAAAAGGTGAACCGGCCCGGCCGGTTCGGGCCCGGTTCGGGCCAATTTATTTATTTTTTTCTTTTTTTTTCGAATTTTTTTTATGTTTTTGGGTTGGGCGGAGTATTTTGGGCCATTTGAGGTGGTTTGGGGTGGTTTGGGGGTGAGGGGGGAGGGTTGGGGGTTAATTAGGAAAAGCCAAAAAAATTAATTTGAACCGAGGCCCGGCCCAACCCGGACCGGACCCGGGGATTACCCGGGCCGGTTCCGGGCCTCCCCTTTCATGAACTGAGGCCCGGCCGGGCCCGGGCCCGAGTCCACCCCTGCAAGTCGCTAGCTTTGTTAGCATATGCATATAAGTCCCCCTTGATGAGGTTGCTATAAAGTTCAGATTCTTATTCATTATTAATGCAATACATATTCCATCTCTAGAACTCACATTCTTATGATACATCATCAAATGAAACATGAAAATAATAGCAAACCATCCAATCCAATTATATTACGCACAAGCTTTTCTACCAACATCAAAATATCTCCATTTAAAGAGCTGCACATTGTCATCGACACATTCTTGTGTTCAACCAACAACCGTTGTTCTAGAGTCTGGCATATACAGAGCACTTGTAGCTAGAGGTTTGTTTAAAGTGAGAAACTAACAACATTGGGACCTTTTTGTGATCAAGACTTCAAACGCACGCTGCAACTCACAAGGTCGCCGAGTCGCAGAGAGCTAGACGGCCGCAGTCCCGCACCGCCTCACGCTGACGCCTGTAGACCCGTCGCTCACGCGGGCCACACCATAATGCAGCCCGCCGTTGCTGAGTGCTGCCTGCGGCTTCTAGTCTTCTTCTCCGGCTTCTGGCCTTCTGCCACTCGCGGCACTCTGCACTCGCCTACATGCTGGTAATATAAGTATTAATAGCTTCAATGTTAAAATGAGTGTGTAAAAAGTAAAATGTTAATTTGTTCTAAGAAATTTTGAATAGATGTATATTAGTGAAGGTATCAGAGATGGGACTACCAGACTACTACTAATATGTTATTCCCATCTCCGACTACCACTAATATGTTATTCAAATGTTATTATTATTGTCAATTTGCATTGTTGGTGTATTATTATATATTTTACTATGATATGGACATTGCTAGACTGCTAATAATGAAAATGTTGATACATGACCTTAATATAATGACCTTTTTATAACATTAATATTATTTTTAATATATCAACACAATTTACACTTTGAAAGTGACGGGTTACAATTATATAATTCCATTGCTACAATTGTCACTTAATGCCATCCATATTGATATTGTCATTATTATAATTTGACATTGCGACATTTTTTACATTGTGACATGCATTACACGACAATGTAAGATAATGTCATTGTTTAAAAATCAATGTCATTATATGGCAATGTAACATAATGTTATTGTTTAAAAATAATGTCATTATTTAAAAATCAATGTCATTGATAAAAATCAATGTCGTTACATGACATTGTAAAATGTGCCATTGTTTAAATCTCAATGTCATTGTACGACAATGTAATATAATTTCATTATTTAAAAATCAATGTTAAAAATCAATGATATATGATAATGTCAAGTAATGTCAATGCTATAAAAAAGTTTGCTCTCAATGTAAAATAATAGCAATTTGTACATGTGCCATCATTTACATAATTGACATGAGAAAAAACAAACTTGAAAGCTAAAATAACGAACATAAATCGTATAACTCAGTGGCTCGATGTTATTGCCAACTCCACTTCATTTCCCAAATTTCCCCTTCCCAATCTCAAATTAATGCCCTTTCCACTTCCCAACTCTCAATTCCCAGGCCAATGGGCGTTCAGCCCCTTCCCTTTTCCCCAATATCTATTAGGAGTGAGCAAAAGTACCCAACCGACATGGTACCAAACCGGACCGGTATGGTACTAGACCGAAAACTGGATTTGAAACAGATCTCAAAATTTTTGTCCCGGTATGCCATGATCGATTCTCATAAAATGAGAACTGGTACCGGACCGAACCAGATCAAAGTATGGTTTAATTATTTAAATGTACATTTATATCATTACTTTGATTAGTGTCTTCGCACTTTCACAACATTTGCTAGTTTACTGGAAGTCTAGAACCGGACCGAAGTATGATTTAATTATTTAAATTTGTACTACTATTGTTTATCTAAAATATATTATTTATGCAATATGGTAATTGATAAATTGTGTGGATTTTTGGAAAATGGAATAAACTTTACTTTCCCCTTAAACACTTGGAAAAAGAGACATTGTTTGGTATTCATATGATATGGTATTGTCCCGTTGCAAATGAAACCGTACTAAATGGTTTAGGTCTAAGACCGAACCGAACCGAACCGTTTCAATAGTCATGGTACAGGTACGATTCGGTAAAATATTGGACCGGACAGGATCGTGTCCACCGCTAATATAATACTCCCTCCGTCCCAAAATGGTTGGCCAAATTTCTTTTTTTGGCCGTCCCAAAAAGGTTGGCCATATCCATTTAAAGTAAGGAATATGTGGCTAAAGTTAATTCTCTCTCCTCTGCACAAATTTCAACCACACAGTTTTTACTTTATTGATCCAAGTGCAAGTCAACATTGGCCAACAATTTTGGGACAGAGGGGGTATCTATGAAAAAATTTTAGTGTACAAAAAACTTGCACACAAGTTGTAGTGTTGTACAAGAGGGGGAGGAGGAGGGGGAGGAGGGGGGGGGGGGAGGAGGGGGGGGGAGGAAGAGGGGGAGGGGCGGAGGGGGAGGAGGGGGCGGAGGGGGAGGCGGAGGTGTAGGGGGAGGCGGAGGGGGAGGCGGAGGGGGGAGGCGGAGGGGGAGGCGGAGGGGGAGGCGGAGGGGGAGGCGGAGGGGGAGGCGGAGGGGGAGGCGGAGGAGGAGGAGGAGGCTGAGGAGGAGGGGGAGGGGGAGGGGGGAGGGGGAGGGGGAGGGGAGGGGGAGGGGGTGGAGGGGGTGGAGGGGAGGAAGAGGCGGAGGAGGAGGAGGCAGAGGAGGCGTGGGCTGCGGCGGCTGCGGCGGCTGCGGCGGAGGCGGCGGCGGCGGCGGAGGCGGCGGCGGCGGAGGAGGAGGCTACCAGTTCTGCCGTCAGCGACCCTCTCCGACGATGACTGGCACCTGCAATAACTTCGAACTGCGGCAACCAACAATGAACGACTGAACGTACTTGACATGCGACCGGCTAGAACAATTACTCCTTTGATAAATTTGGTGCTCATGTCCGATTTGGGAAGATCGAATAGATCGATGTCTGCCCTTTTTTTTTTAATGAAATAGGCTTAAATTCAGTGGTGGAGTCAGAACTCAACCTATACACAGAATGAAAATTGTGAATCATTTTTAAACAATATCCGAGTTAAAAAATTCATATGCAGTTTAGACAAATAGGCACTGGTAGCAATAAGATAGATTGTTTTTGCTCTGTTTCTGTGCCGTAACACGTAAGTATTGAGTGAATTATACGCTATTTTTAGTATTTGGGAAAATAATCTACAGTATGCATCAAATTTTGCTGATTTTACATTTAAATAGCGGTGATTTTCCAGAAGTTATAACTTTTTACTCGTAATGAGCTACGGGGGGCATATTATATCAAATCGAAGATATTTTAGAGCTCTATACTATCAAACTTTCAGCGGGGTCGGATGACTACCCTGACCACCTAGCTCCGCCCCTGCTTAAATTGATAACACATCATTCAGATAGTAGATAATCCGGCAAGAAGATTTTTGACAATCGCCGTCCCGCGAACCAGACTCAGAGTTAATCACCTCATAGGAAACAATGCAACTCGCTGATCCATTAATGAGAACAAATGAGCCAAAGACGGTTGCCACAATCCTTCCATCACCCACATCCAAATCCAGTCTTACAAATACGAAAAACAAAAACAAAACACACAATAAAAAACAGTAATTGTCACGGCCGAAAAAATAAAACAGATAAAAACACGCTGCTGTCCGAGCTTGCCGAACTACACGAAGAACCAACAACTCTTCCCTGGTATCGACTGCAACACTTTCGGCGGACTTACCGGCTGATGTCCGCCCCTCCCCTGTTTTTTGTCCTGTCAAGAGCCATGTTATCCTATTCAAGCTTATCTGCTCCCTGGGAATCCCAAATCCTTCTTCGCTTTTGTTCCTTCGATGCCTTTTCCTTTGTTTCAATTCCCCCACCTTTAATTGTACTCTGTGCTGATTCTGATATAGACTCCCCCCCTTCTCTCATCCTGCCATCTGACTTAATATCCCCCATAAACCCACGATCCATGTCAAAGCTCGATGAACCCTCCACTAGCCATTTACTACCTCCTGTAGGGCTATCTTCACCCCACTACTCGCCTTTAGCTGAACCCCAAACATTTTTTTCCAGAACAAGATCTTCTTCATAGGTTAATGGACAAAATTTATCTGAATGCCCAATTAAGTCACATATAAAACAAAAATTGGGCAATTTTTCATACTTGAAATCCACCCAGTAACTCTTTCCTTTTTTTAGGTTGGTACCTTTTTTCAAAGGTTTATCCACATTCATGCACACCCTGATCCTCATATACGATTCCCACTTCTCGATATTCTTATTATCATCTAGGGGTGAGCAAATAATCGAAAAAACCGACGTAACCGATAACCGGCGACCGAACCGAACCGAAAAATCGGTTATCGGTCGGTTTTCGGTTATCAAGTGTAAAAGATTATCGGTTATTCGGTTATTCGGTTATGTAGCGGTTTTAAATTTTAGGTTTCGGTCGGTGACCGATAACCGAATGAATAGGTGATAAGTATAATTATAGCCCAGCGGCCTCCTACCCAAATCAATGCAACGGCTAACCTCCTACCCTAAATCGCCAAACCTCTGTTCCGAAAACATGAGCGAATGAACCTGACCTCTCCGGAATCCAGACACTAGCAAAGCGAAGAAGCCAAGCGATTAATTTTAGCCTTGTACGAAGACCCAAGGTAATCTGAGTTCTCTTCTTCAATCCCTAACTTGAGGTTTCCTCTGTGGAAACTAATTTGACATCGTTTCTTCAATTCACCCAATCGCAGACTTTCCCAATCTAATTATCTAACAGCGGTAAATCTCTAACTTATCTCAATTAAACCCCTCTTTCTTCAACAAATGCTTCATATTTTTTTCCCCGAGTTCAGCGATCTCTCTGAAATCCACTGTTTTAATATTTATATTTGATATGTAGAGATGTTTGGGTTGGCCGTTGGGGACCTAATGACCTATGAGTTAGTTTTCTAATTACTTATTTAATGGATTATTAATTTGGTGAAAATAATATGTACGGGCTTTGGTGAAGTCTTGGAGTTAACTTCTTATACGAAAATACGTATAATGGGAAGGAGTTAATGGTTATAACTAGCTAAAAGAACTAACATTCTACGGGCATTGTTTTTCTTCTTCTCAAGAAGAAATGAATGATATTAGACTTCTTTTAAGCTGCTCCACTAAGAAATCTTTGCCGAAATCAACAGCTGCTTAATTTACTTTCCATGATGTAGATTTATTAGTTTAGTGATGACTTATTACAGATTCACATAAACAACCAATTTTATATGTTTGTGAGCTTGTGTCATGTAGACGTGAAATATACTGTTATATTTGAAGTGATGAATGCTGAGTATTTGATTAGCTTTCCATCGTTTCTTATTGCAGGAATTTTGTTATATAAAAGTATTGCAGAAACTATTTAATGATAGCAAGTATTTGCATTTACTTTTGATCTCACTTAGTCACTTGTAATATTGACAAGGGACATATGCTTTGATGCGATGGACAATGGTAGAATGGTGTAGATTTACCACTTTGGATTTTGTAATTTTGTGACATACTGTGTCTTTTTGCCAAATTATTAGTAAAAGTTTTTCACTTAGGACATTTCTTTTATAATATTTCCAATATATACTTCAATAAAGCGTCTACCGGTTACGAATAAAGCATCCAGCTTGGAATCCTTCGTTTTTTACTAGTGTTTATAAAAAACTTTCAGATTTTAGAAAAAAATAACCTTAAAAAAATCTATATGTTCGGTTATGGTCGTTTATTCGGTTATTGACCGAAACCGAATTGTCGGTTTTCGGTTTGTACCCTAAAATTACCGGTCGGTTTTCGGTCAGTTATTGAAGCAAAAAAAGTTGGTCGGTTATTCGGTTATCGGTCGGTTATTTGACCGACCGACCGAATGCTCACCCCTAAAATATCATCATAATTAGTAAATTTTCCTATAAAATTTTCAACCCGTCTGGCAGTACCTATATTAACTAGGCTATATGGAATATTATGAACCTGAACCCAAAAGTCAGCCTCATTTACCACAATCTTATGCAGAATATCATCAGGTCTAATTTCGTTCTGAAGCAACATATTGCGCTCAAATTGCCAAGGGGCGCCATCAAGCACACGATTCATATCAACACAGTGATAAAAAGTAAAAAGATACATCTTTTCGCCTACTTCTTTGATCAAAATTCATTTCCCCGGCCTCCAAAGTGAGGACATGAGTTCTTTGAAGGTTGAGAACTTGACCTTCCTGTCCGTCAACAGCACACCCACCAACGAAAATCCCGGATTGTTCTCCGCTACCGGCACTTCCTCTGAATCGAACTCGTCCAGATCTAGTGCTTCTTCCTCTTCCCCAATCGCCATTTTTTTTGTATTATCCATGAAACTTTCCATCCAAAGTTGTTGCCTTACCTTCCTTCCGGACCGCCGCCGCCACTGTACGTATCTCGCTTCGAATCAGCAAACCCTCGCCTCCACACCAAAGCCTTCGATCGCCGGTCTCAGCCGCCTCTGTTCGACCGAAGCTCCTCCACACAACCAACAATCCAAAAAGAGGCAACGAAATCCGCTCCCCACGCCGGAAACACCAGCACCGCGCCTCGGTAAACCGATGGAGGACAAACCAAGGCTAAGGATTATCGGTTGATAACCCTAGAGAGAAGCTCCTCCGTAAATATAATAAGACGAAGTTATCGATGTCTGCCCGTTATAAATACAGAAATTCCTGAAAGTTGGAATATCCGAATAAGTAAGGGTGTTTTTGTCTCTCCGTTCAAAATTAGTCCTATTTAGGAGTTTAAAAGCTTCAAGTCCTATTTAGAAGGTTTTTGGATCTGATTCTTAAAACTGCTTTTGTTCTGCATAGGAGCAGAAGCAGAAGTTGAAGTGTTGGGTGAAAGTGCAAAATTACTTTTAGGGCTCTAATTTACTCAGTTTTTTTAGAAGTTGGTGAAACTAATTTTGATTATCACGTGTTTCTCTCAAGTCTCTATAATCAGTTCCAAACCCCCTTATATTCCCAACTCATCTTTTAGTCCTATTTAGGTCTATTTCACTTTAAAAATTCATGAATACTTCAGATATGAATTCACTATATTCTTATTCATCCGCACAACAATTTATTTGAGAAAATCACTGCAGATTTTGGTTTCCGTTTGAACGACGCACACTCTTCGTTTCTCTCTGAAGAACTCTCTTGGAACCCTAATTCAAAAATGACATCAGAGATGGTTGGCTTTATTATATTCTCTTAGCTAATTTGGACTGGACCAACAATGCCCACAACCTTGGCACCTAGTTGTCTTTACTCCCTTTTTTTTGCCGAGTTCTTTACTCCCTTTTATTTCATTCCTTTAATTTTATTTTCCTTTAATTTTATTTTCCTTAGTTTGTTTCTCGTTTCCACACAACCATCTTGTATCCAATCTTGACATTGAATCATAAAGTTGCTGTTTTTTTCAAAAAAAAAAATAGATTCAAGAGAACAAATGGAGATTGCTTCATTGAAGCAGAACATCAAGCACTTGAAACTCACAGATACGAACAACTCTATAAATTCTAGTTCAGTAGAAGGAGACAATGGTTGTGGCGTGCAGATCACGTGCTTCTCTGAAGTCTCCCATGATGGTGTCGATCTCCATTTCCAGATCATTCGTCTTCTCAAACAGGTAAGTTCCTTTCGATGTTTATGTATGAACTCATCAGATGCACATCTGTAATTGACTGAAAATTGAAACACAGTGGAATTCAGAGATTTTGTGATTGCAAACACCGCCTCTTTATTACTTTTCTCTGGACTTCGCATTTTCAAATTTTGCCACTATCTTATTAGTCAGGATATTCACTGAAAAGTGAAAACCAAACTATTTAATAAAAGAAAGACTATAGATTCTTTGATTTTAATACGTAAAAGGCCTTCCGAAAATGGTAGGATTGTTTGATTTTTCGTCCTATGTCTTCACGGCATGTTTGGATTTAGCTGAGGAAGATTAGGGTAGGAGATTTTTTTATGAGATTTGGTACTGTGTGTTATTATTTATTATAATTATACTGTGTAATATTTTAAACTCAATTTAAACTCTTGTTTAGAATTAATAGTAAATTAGTATTTGAGAAATTATATTTGGTAATATATCATTATTTTGAAGACTCAATTTGACTAGCATATAGGGATCAAGAAGTTGAAAATTGTGTTGTTTTCCGCAGGTTGCCGCAGGGACCAAAATTGCCTATTATACTTTAGTTTTATGTTAAAGTTTTCCGCATCCTAGTGCTAAACTGTATTTCAAATGCAATTGGTCTGCTCTTTTACTGTATTTGGTAATTGTATACTGTGAGTAAATTGACTCCTATTCGATTATAATACTGACTGTACATGCAAATTGCTTTCTGCACAATTAGATATATGTATGGATAGGCTGCAATACTGCAAAATTTGGACATCTATATGCAGCTGGACCTACACGCCCTGTAAGGATCTTATTTACTTTTTGTGTGATGCTCCATTTTTACACTCTACGAGTATGTTGCCTCCATTTTTACTTTAATGATTGTTTGATATGAACTATACAAACTGGTATAAGTTGAAGATGCTATAGGGTTAAGTTATAACACTTTGGCTGAAGTAAGTTTCACACACACTAAAAGATATTCAATTGCAATTCGTCAATTAGCATGTCTTATCCTCTTTGACAATGTTTTGTTTCTTCTCTCACCTCATGATGTACACAGGACGATGCAGTTTCTGTTACTTGCTTACTTGGAGGATCATCTGATAATACTGGATCTGGAATTGCACGTCGGTTAGGTAAGTATTAATCCACAAAATCACGTTCATGATATCTTTTTGTATATATTTACGTTAAGAGTTTTTTGCAGTTTTGAAGACTGGCCTCAATATAATAGTTGCTTGTAATATCCCCAAAAATAGCCCCATGCTTGAGGTATGTGATTCATGCCATCCCTCACATCCAAATTGGACCTAATTAAACTAACTAGAATACGGATTAATGAATTATATGAGTCTGCATAGATAAACAATATCTTCGATTTTATAAACTTGAAACCCTAGCCTCTCATGGTTTAGTTGACAGATTAATCTATAAACTTGAAACTTATAAAACCCTATAGCTCAATTTTTAGAGGACAGAGGGAACATATAATACCGATAAGAGGACGGTAGCCTACCGGATCTTAAACCAGGTAAAAGGAAATACATTTTTTAGAGGGAACTCATCACGGATGTAGTAGATCAACGTGAGATATGGATTACCACTCTCTTTTTCATCAACTCATAGAACAACATTGATATTCTGAAAGACATTCTAAGGGAGGGAATTGTTTTGGAAAGTATTTCTCAGATCATTCCATATATAATTCCTTTCTCAGCTTTCCTGTTGACTTAGCATAAACCTCACTCATAACCTTTGGCACATTGTCTAGGAATACCTGATAGACATCATTTTCTCACCGGTAGTCTCATTCCAGAAGTCTTTCCACAGGAACCAGAAATTTATGGTTGGGATAAGAGCAATAATTTTGAAAATGTAGTTATTCAGTAAAACCTTCAATTTGGTCAGAAGGTACAAGTTGTTCAGCAACAATCAACAACCAATAGCAAGAGTTGCAAGTTGCAGCAAGAATTTTGAGTCTAATGAGGGGGAGTTAGTTGCCCCTTTCCCCCACCCCCACCCCCACCCCTGTAGGCCCCTGGAAAATACTAGGGAATGGAAAGAAAATGACGATGAAGCTTGTTTTTTTAGTACGTCGTATTTATAATATACTACCTCCGTCCCTTGAAACTTTGCCAAGTTTGACCGACACGGAGATTAATAAAGTAAAAAATGTGTGGTTGAGGTTTGTGCAGAGGAGAGAGAAGTAACTGGAACCACAAATTCTTTACTTAAAATAGAAAGTGGCAAAGTTATTGGGACCACCAAAAAAGGAAAGTTGGCAAAGTTTCAAGGGACGGAGGGAGTATAAATTATTTATTTAAAACAGAAAAGGAACAAAAAGTAAATACACATTTATTGAGTTCAGATCAATGCTTTATTTTTATCAATACTTCCTATCCTTCCAAATTCGCTCAATAACGTCCTCCCTATTTTCTTTCCCCAAGTCTTTTAGGAGTTTTAAACAGACCCTACATTTCCTGATTTTCATACTTGCAGTTCTCATCTTTTTTCCTTATTGTTTTCATATATGCACATTTTGGTTTTTACATTCCTGGACGTTGAAAACATTCCTCACGCTTTTTTTATGTACTCAGGCTGAAGCAGAGAAAAAGTTGATGGAAAAGCTTATCAGTCTAGGTTACACTAAGCCAAGATATCAAGCGCTCTCTTCACAATGAAAGAGATGATATTGTTGCATGGAGCTCTGAAGCTTGTCTACTAGTTGCACTGCTATCTTGACCATGGGTACCTCCTTGCTCTGGAGTTTCTTCACCTACATTCAGAGAATCATTAGAAGCATATATAAAAGTTTGAAGTGTAGATTGATAGTGGATTGTTTTCTTGAAATCTAAAGTTTTGTGTGTAATCGTATCATCCATGCGTTCTGGTAAACTGGTCAGTTGACTTGCTAGTTACTATGTCTAACTGTTTAATTGACAGTGGATGGTTTTCAATCGTATCATCCATGCGTTCTGGACCTCTGGTAAACTACTCAGTTCGCATACTAGTACTAGTTATTATATCTAAGGGAAAAGGTGCAAATAGGCTCATGTACTAACCAAAAAATGTCAAATAAGCCCTTATTTAGGAGACTCTGTCCGGCCGTCGTCATTTGGGGTGGTTCCCGGTGGAATTTTTTGATGAAATTATTTGAGCATCTTATTGATCAAGTCTAGTTAACTCATACCAAATTTCAATTAAAACTTCAATCAGGAAGGCATTCAAATGAATTCTTGAAGATAACTGTGCTTCTAACTGCTTGAAGGCATTCAAATGAATTCTTGAAGATAACTGGCCGGGGCGGGCCACCCGACCCGAGTCCAGGCCTACTCCGAAATTAGACTAGATCATACTTCGACAACTATAGATCAGTTTATATCAGATTGTTAAACCAAACCAGACTAGATCATAAAATTTCAATCCAAGTAAAAGCATTCTAACTACTATTATAATCCAATCATATCATTTGGCTTCCTTTTTTATTACTCCCTTCATTTCTTAATTAAGTTTTCCTTTTTGGGTATCATGTAGTTTAAGGATGTTTTAAATTGGATTGGAATTTTCTAATTAGACCTGGTCTGTTAAAGCCTAATCTCATTTGTCTAATCGGAGTTAGTCTAAATGTATTTTATAATCGTCAAAGTCTGGTATGGTTTGAGACAGCCGGATTGGGATAGAATATGAGTCCCGGTCTGATCTCGGGTACATGGCCGGTCTCAGGTCCGGTTTAGGCACTTATGCCAAGTTTGACCGGCACGAAGATTAATAAAGTAAAAATTGTATGATTGAGATTTGAGATAATTAACTGGGAGCTCCTTTGGTAATACTAAAATTGGCTGAATTGTTTGATTCTGCTGAAACTTATGAAGTTCTGGCTGAAGTGGCTGTATTGGCTGATTCTGTTGATTCATGAAAAAATTATATTTAAAATATTTGTTATTAATAAATTAAATAAAACATTATATGGAAAAATAGCTAAAATGTTTCTCTATAATAACTTCAGCCAATACAGCCAGAAAAGTAACTCTAACCTTACTTTTTCTGCTTATATAAAATTCAGCACGCGAAATCAAAAGTTACGTGTTTGGTGAAAAAGCTGGCTGATAAGCCTGATAAGCCGAAAAAAGGGGTCACCAAACGGGCTCTGGAACCATAAATTCTTTACTTAAAGAGAAAATGACAAAATTTGTGGAACGTCCAAAAAGGAAAGTTGACAAAGTTTCAAGGGACGGAAGGAGTATATTTATTAATATAAACAAAAAATGTTACCCATAAAAAATGATAATGTAACTAATATGATAAATGACTAATATTAAAATGTGACTAATATTAAAATGTGGCTAATATTTAATGTGAGTAATATTAATATCATAATATAACTGATATGACAATGTGACTAATATAATTAATGTGAAAATGTGATAGGTGTGAAATTGTGATGAATATACTTATTATATAGGACATATATAACTATATATAACTATATTGCTATATTGCTATATAGCAATAAAAATGTGATGAAAATGTTAATAGTATACAGTACTACGTATATATAACTATATTGCTATAAGATAGAGCAATATAATTATATTTAATACTTTAGTATATATATTTAATATTATATATTTAAATATAAGTAGATATTTTATATTTCTAACTTTGTAGGCTTGTATATAAATGTAAAAATCAGTATTAAATATAAATATATACAGGTAGATTCATGAGTATGAAGATGTAATTGAGAGTAGATATAATTAGAATTTTAGAGTAGAAGAGAATAGGAGAATAGGAGAATAAAATTGTAAAAAATTTATAAAAACGGAGGTATTTATAGTTCTTTTTAACTCCACCCCACCTTCATGTGAGGCCGAATGATGGTGGCCTGGTTCTTATCTCCTGTCAGCATGATGGATGCTTGTTTTGCTGCTTTATTTTCTTTTTAGTTAATTTTAGAGTTTGTTGCTGGTTTTGGTTTTGGTTTAATGTTCTGAGTTGTAAGACATTGGTTTTGGATGTGGGTGATGAGAGGAATTTGGTGATCGAGTTAGACTTATTGTTTCCCGGTTATGGATCAGCGAATTATATTGTTACGGCGATTAATTCCGAGTCTGGTTCGAGAGATGACGATTATCCTTTTTCTCTTTGTCAGTTGACCCATAGTCTGAACTTTTGTTGATTATTTATCTAAGCCGATTTCTGTCAAAAAAAAAAAACTCCACCCCACCTTCCTAGACCCCCAAACCCCACCCCAACGGCAATATAGTCTTTCCAAAGGCAATAAGCCCCCTGACGGATGACGTGGAGCTTAAGAGGGGTGCGTCAAGTCAGAACAACAACGACGTAATTTGACAGGAGTAGATCGGATGAGGTCAGTTAAAGATGAATACTGATTCTACTTTAATATCTATCCGAGTTTGTGGGTTGGGCCGGGTAGTTCGGGATAGTGGTGGCTATTTCGTAGAAAAAATGATGTTTGTACCCACTCTTATACCCACTTTTGTACCCATCTATGTTTGTGAAGTGTTGTTTTTTGTCTGTGAACCCTGATTCATAGACAATATTTTGTACAAACAAATTTTTTTCAGTGAATCGAATATACAGACAAAACAAAACACTTCAAACTGGTGGGTATAAGAGTGTGTACATAATTTCGATTGTTGATTTCATAGCAGGGGACTAATATATGGATTGATGGTTGTTCTCGAAAGGTGGTTGACTTTATGCTTGAGGGAGGTGTTGAGTTGGCTTAAAAGTGTATATTGGGACAATTCTTTTTTGGATATTATTATTGTTATTGATGATATGAGAGATGTTTATTCTAATTTTACTAGTATTTCATGATCTCATATGAAACGATCGGTGAACAATAATTTTATTAATAATATTTAAATACAACCTCCCATAAAACTTGACCAACTTTTCATTTTTTGTCATCCCAAAAAACATTGCCGTTTCCTTTTAAATTAAAGTACTCCATCCGGCCCTATATTATCTCCTCCTTTGCCAGTGCTCACAAATTAAGATAATGAGTTTTATGTGGAGTGTTGTGTAGAGGAGAGAGAAATGTGTAAAAATGTGTAAGAATGATTGTGAACCACAAATTCTTTATAAAAAGAAAGGAAAAGATAATTTTGGAACGAATGAAAAAGGAAAGTTTGAACATAATATAGGGACATATGAAGTAACAAATAGAGAAAATTGCTATTGCTAAGACAAAAATATAGGCTTTTCCCAAAATAGGACTTAATGTTTGGTTTTCCCTAAATAGGACTAACCTTACCTTTTTTACCCCTAATTCTATTTAATTAATTAATTGGTCTAAATAATTGCCCTCCTAGTTTCCTTGCACAACCAAGGCAGTCCGTCGGTGGCGGGGCAATCCGTGGTGGCGGCAGAACTCCGGCGAACTCCGGCAATTAATTAACCCAATTAATTGCCCGTCTAGTTCTCTTGCACAACCAAGGCAGTCCGTTGGTAGCGGGGCAGTCTGGTGGTGGCGGCAGCAGATTCTGGCGGCCGGCAGTGGTCCGGCCGCGGCAACAGGTGGTCGGCGGTAGGCAGTTAGCAGCAGTCCAGGGGCAGAAATAGGGGTATTTTGATCCAATTACACACAAAAAGTCATATTTAAGAATTTTTAAACTAGTTGGTCTTATTTTGGAAAAAATGCTATGTTTCACTCCTACTCCCTCCGTATCTATTTACTTGACCCACTTTCAGACGTATCAAAATAAATGTCTCATTCTCTTTTTGGAAATAAACCCACTCAAAAAGCAGCTACAGTATCGCTACAGTACTGCTACAGTACCGCTACAGTACCACTACGGTACCAAAAACCTCCCACTTTATATATTTTTTCCTTAAACTACGTGAAAAAGCATACAAGTCGATTAAATAGATACGGAGTATTAGGGTAAAAACCCCTGACAAATACTACGTACTTCCTATGTGAGTAAAGTTTTATGGAATGTAAGAGTACTTTTCTTTGTGAAAATATCTTCTCAATCATACTTGGAAGTTTCTCATACGCGTCCGTATATAACGATACAGAATTAATGAATTATAGAGACTTGTTTATCTATCCCAGCAAAATCTGAGCCTCAACGCTAGGATGAGCTGGGCTCTCGCTGTCACCTCCACTCACACAGAGACCGGCGTTGCAGCTACGGCTACCTATTTCTCTTTTCTGCTGTGATTTAGGTTCGGATTTGATTCGTCCATTTTGTGTCCGCAGGCGTTACTTGTCGAGCCATTTTATTTTATTTCTGGAATTTCTGGAATGTCGAGATTGAGGAATCTGGGAGCTGGATTGGCTCTGATGACGATAATTGGGAGCCTAACTTGCGTTGAAAGCACCGCGACGTCGTTTTCCTCAATGTGCACCTTACGGAATTCGCTTAAAAACTCGATCTTGGGGTTCCACGATTTCACATGCCCGGTAGATGAGATAATGTTTTCTTATGCCGCAGCTGTAGTTGAGGTAAAAATCCCAACCGTACCCTGTCCTTTTTAATTTGTTTTCTATGATTTTCTTCCTTGTTTTTTTGAAGAATTCGTTTATGTTTGGATTTTCTTCCTTGTTTTTAAGTTGGTGTACCTTATTAATACTATTTGCCTTTATAATGATCTATTCGATTGTCTGTGCATAACATAAAATCGCAGGTCAGAGCGCTGCTAGAAGTTGAAACAAAACGAGTTTTTAATCAATATGGTTTTTTCTTTGGTATTTTTTGTTTAAGTCTGCTTAGAAGAACAGAATAATTTTTTCAATGCACTTATGTATCTGAGAAATGATAGTCTAAAAGACCAGGGTAGCATGAAATCTGGGTGTGAGTTGAAAAATATGCTAAGTATGAACTAGGTAGCTAAAAAGAGAGTTTTGGAAGGTGATATTTACAGTGCAAATGGTAAATACTTGGGGAATAAGTAAAATATCTCGTCTAGTGATATTGTGCCACGTGTAAGGCTTGATTGGTGAGAGAATCCTCGATTGATTGCATATTAGTCAATGGCGTAAATGGCGATCGCCATTTCTCGCCTTTGGCGATTCAGGGGGCCTTCGCCACAAATTTTGGCTATGGCGCAGGGGT